GAGAAGCTCAAAAGGTCAGAATCTCACCTTCACTATTTATTTGGCTACTTTCAGTATTATTAGTATTCAGATCCTGATTACACTGCAATGTTGTCCTTTTTTAAGTTCCTCCAAAGACTGGAACGAATACAATCAAAAGCCAACGTGTGGAGGAAGAGATTAAAACTAAAAGGAATTCTGTAGCCTGCAGGCAAAGCGCAACAAAAGGTATGCCTTCAGTCTTTTGATACAGAGGCCAACTGTGCTCTGTGAGTTGTTGTATCTTGTGATGTTAATCATTCTCTGGATTTTATTTTAGCAAAGCCACAGCGGAAAAGAAGTGGCACACGAGGAGGCCGTTCCAAATGATGTCACTCAGACTAAATCATCAGAAAGCTTTTGAGCAAGAGGTGAAGTCAGCAAGCTACTGTAATGGACCACCCAGACTTTTTATATTAAGTAATGATTTCATAATACATAAGAAATATATGTATGTAATCAAATATATATATATATATATATATATTTATAAACAATTTTTTTGTTGTTGTGTAAAATGGCCTGCTTGGGGCCTTATCATCTTTTACTTCTAGTGTTTAATCAACCATATTGACTACCTTTTTCTTAAGATTTCACAAAGAGGTGACAGGAAAAAAGAACCAAGTAATCCATTTTAAATCTTACACTGAATTTATTATAATTTTTTTTTTAATAAAGTTTGTGTGAAAAAACTTAATTGAGAATTTAAAAAGTGAAAATGAATAAATATCATATACCACAATTTTCCAAAGTGACATCAGCTACTTGGGGAAAACAAGTGATTCAAGTACCATCATAATTGATTTGCAATTAAATGGATCACTGTATAATTAAGAGGAGAGATCTGATCTGAAAGGGTTTGAACGTTAAGGTTTTTCCAGAGGAGGTCTTTGACACAGGAATACTGGAATCAGGACGCTCCAGGAGATCACAACTGTAAAGACAATTACCTATGAGAATAATGTTCTTAACAATACAACAATGTTAGTATTAATTGTTTACTCACTGCCATGCTTCTTGCATGGGAAGGGAAGTTGACAAAGTCATAGTCACGCTGCTTCCATGAGACTCATAGAGGCGAATAAGTAGGGCATTCTTCTCTGCTTTCTGCCTGTGAGGAAAAGGAAACAGAGTTTGTGCTGAACACAGTGGGCAAAATCTGTTAGGAGAGGTCAAGACGTACGGAAGTTCTAAGCGGCCATGCATGATTTTTTTTTTCCTTCTTGTTTTCTCGTTATAACGACTTATTTTCTCGTTATATCGACATAACGAGAGTTGTTTTCTCGTATAACGACTTATTTTCTCGTGATCTCGACATAAAAAAAGTTGTTCTCTAAGTTACAAAACTGCAGCAACAGCTGGCACTATTGACCTGAATATAACTGATGGGGTGTTGTAGGCTATGCTGTATGTCCACTTTACTGTACGCGTTTGGGATAGAATATGAACCTCGTGATCGCTATAATTTGTACAGTATTGTTCATTAGGCTACTGACATTTAATTCATTCATAAATGTTAAATGCTTTAATTAATATGACTCTTTAGTGTATTAAGTTCTTGCTAGATGCATGAGTTTCACCAACGCGTTC